TCTACGTTATTTCCTAATAGTCCCCAAATAAATAATCACTGATTGACAAAAATGACCTTAATGAAAGTTAAAATAATTTGAATGGGATATTTTGTATCTACAATTAGCCTGTTAATAATCTGCATTTTTAAAAAGTTTCAGTCACCCTCAGTTTTCTTGCAACTGCAATACACTTTTTTTATGTAAATATGGTTGAAAATTGAATTTAATCAAGAAAACAACTAACATTTGACTTTTATTCAGGATTTTCGGGAATATTTAGCGTCAGGTACATCTCTTTTGAGTGTCCAACTGTAATCAGCCAACATGTTCGGACTCCACTTGCCTTGGTACCGTTTTTCCATGTTGGATATATCCTGATGGAATCAAATGGAAGCCAAGAGTTCTGCCTGTCTTTTACTGAGATCCAAATCACGTATAAGGTCATTGAGATCGTTTTGTTTTACAAAATGAGGTGCCATATTTGAAGTGCTGGGCTCAAAAGTCGGATCGGAATCAGAATTCTCAGATATATTTTCTTCATCAATCACGTCATCCGTGTTTACTGGAGGCTGAGGAACAGGCAGATCATCACTGTGTGGGATAGGTCTTTGAGCAGATTGTAAATTCGGATAGTTCACGGTGTGTCTAGATTTGTGATTAATACCTTTGATAGAAGTTTGGCAGAAATAAAAATCTGATACATGGTCTTTCTGTTCAGACCATATCATTGGAACTGCAAACACATTGTGTACAACAAACACTAGGAGTCCAGGTTTTGTCCAAATTTCGCACCGGAAAGCCAAAATAATTAAAATAACAGTTTTTAACTAATGGTGTCAAATTACGACGTTGACTTTTAATAGTAAGTTGACCGCAAATGTAACAAAAGTTATCAGGATGGTTTACACACACTCTGGGCATCTTATTAAGATGTACAGAAACGACAATCACAAAAAAAAACCGTTTTAATTTCAATAATTCAATATTAATTTATCGGAAACATACGTCGGTAAGCAAAATTCGCGTATTCAATTTAGTTTATGTTTAACGAAAACTGAGGGTGATTGAACAAAACTAAGTATGAGGTTTATATGCGGGTAGGTAGTAGTGTTTAAAAAACCGACTCGATTTTGTTTAACAAAAATACTGTTTACCAGTGAATTAGAAAAAACATATTGAAATTCCTAGAGTAGTTAAGATTATTTGGAACAAACTATAGCATAGATGAAATCATTATCTATTATTTCATCATAATGTTTGTATATTAAAAAAAGAAAGTGTGGTGATCATCATGAATTATCTCCTATCTTCGGTGAATCGATGTCAGCCAGACTACGAGATTATGCTGTGATCTTGCGAGAGTTTTAACGAGATCATATCGAACTTCGCACTTTTCGATTGTTCGAAAACTTGATAGCCATTGTTGCCGATAATTTGAACGTGGTTACCGATTCGTAGCGTGAGTCGAAGTTCGAAGTTGACTGACGATAATCTCTTTTAAGTTCGCAGAACGATTAGTAGGCTAGTTAATTTTTATCGATTATTATGAACGTCACTTTTTCCGTTTTTTGGTGATTTATATTTGTTCTAACTTTGTTAGTCTGTTTGTAGGAGAAATCTTCGGAAATACTTGATGCGATCATGAACATTTTTTATTCTAAAGAATGCTACATCATACGCTGGTGACATAGGCCATAATTTATGAGGGAAAACAGCTAATTATTTGTATTTTTTACAATATTTGCTCGGTATTATATGCTGTATGATTGGTATTCACGAGGCAAAACCTATATCTGCGCCCTAATAAGTAATCTACTTTTTAAATCGCAAAATATTTAATCATTAATCTCATCTTGTATGGAGTCAGAATTAGTTTTCTACTCAAATTAATCCGAAGGCAAATCAGATTCATATCCCCAAGAGGGTAAGGCACATCTGGCCAGTTAAAAGTTGCGAGCAACCCGGTATGAATACACTGCATAACTTTGTTAAAAACGTTTTTAAGGCATAAGAGTCGAGCGACAATTGAATGTTTCATCCTAGGACTGACAGACCTTCTCCTTGTTGGATCCTAGGGCTATTTCCAAAAAGAGAGGATGTACGGTGCGTCATCAGTGTTTTGACTAACCTACCGGCGGTTCCATGCGGATGGAGAGTCCCACAGACCCCAGACAGAGCATAGAGCATTCTCGTACTAGAAAAAAAATTGATATTTTTTTTGTGATTGAAAAATTTGTACATGTGTTAGTATACTTAAAATAAATTTTGTTACCACTGCGGAACATCTGATTTTGCGCAAATCGTATACTGAATTCCGGGAATGAATAGTATGAATAAAAAGCGAGGTTTCACTTGCCTGATTGGCTGGCTGGCTAATTTCCAGATATCAGGTAAATTAAGTTGTGATTTCTGATTTTTACATGTTGTTATACCTAAATCTTCCATCGGTTCTCCCCGATACTTCCCGACGTCGGTGACTACTTACGATTTAAAGTTCTCAAAAACATAACCTTTATCTTCCTTGTTTGATATTCAGTTTTTGTATATGATATCCAGAGAACTATTTCAAAGCATTTTGTAAGTAGCTTGTATATATCCTATTTACTAGAGGAGATGGAGATACTCGTACATATACTAGAGAGAAGAAAAGAAGACAAATCCTAGCAGTGAAACACCTCCTCAAAGCAATTTAAACGTGACTATGAACATATTTAAAAGTGAATACATATTTGACAATATACTCGTAACAAGTGGATTGTAAAAGGAATATCGAAATTTTTCATTCTTATATTATTAGATTACTTATATTACTATTATTTCTTATATTATAAGAGTGATGACGACAGCATAAAACGAGCGTGTGAGTAAAGAATGAAAATTTACTACAACAGATCCACGTATCAAGTATTTTATAATACTAGCCTGCTGGCGATACTTTGAAATCCAAGTATGAGTGAGATGAGACGTATTTAGTACGACAGAACCACATATCGATTATTTTAAAATACTAGGCAGCACCTGTTCTAACTCACCAAATCTTTGATCCAAAAAGTAGTTACTTTTGTAAATTATAAATATTCCGAATATACCCAATTTATATTTTTCTTTATTTCACAATTTTCAACTTAAACACTAAGAAGATAGAATACGTGGTAGATAAATGTGAGACTAGAACGAGAGAGGATTTCTATGCAAATAAAGTCCTTAATATCACAATGATTACTAAAAACGGAATTGCTATAATGTACGTTTAGCAATCCAGTTTGCAGCAACCATTCTGAAGTTAATAACCATGACAGTTTAAAAAAAGTCCTTTATAATCTAGCGGATTCCAGTTCCACCACACGTGAAATGACAAATACTATGTGGACAAGGTAGAATAGGTATTTAAATCGAATATAAGATACTACTGTGAATATGTATGTATAGTATTATAATCTAGTATAACACAACAAATTATTACTTGCTTATCGCTAGTGACTTATACTATCACAAGAATGTATCCTAGTCCGCGAGACTTTATACTTCGTATTCGTGGCATCATTTAGAGTTGTTAGTGCCAGGAAAATATGAAAATATTATCCTAAAACTTACCAGGAGTAGACTTTAAGCATGAAATGTCGTTTAATAGTTCATCATTAATAGTTAACTTTAAAATATGTTTAGGTATTGTAATACAAATAGTATAAACATTTTTAACAGTAGCTGCAATTGAATGTGCTAACTACTGTGCCATCGGGATCCTAGTTCTTAGGGGATGAGGCTGTTAATGCAAAGGGTGGCAAATATTATTTTGGCCAAGAGCGGTTATATACCTATATCTGGCATTTCATATATCAAAATAATAGTAAGTAATAGTCCAAATAATTTGTTGCGTATTTTTCAAAAATAAACATTTGGTAGGCGCTGTTGTAGTGAAATGTCAATAAAATCGAAAAAAATACAGCATTTCACAAAATAGTAAAAAGTTTGTCTCACCGTCACAAAAATAATAATATTAAAAATATTTAACCCTAAAAAAACCTTTTGATAGGTAAAATATTAATAACAACCTCCAAAGTATATATTTATATCTTATCTAATGTTAATCTAATATACTATATCATTATTTGATGTACCAATGTGAAAATTTAATATTTAACTTTAGTTAGTACTCGTTATAGATTTTAAATCTCTCACTCTTACTCTCAGCATAGTATTTTTTACAACGCTGGATACGCCTTCTCCATCGTGCTATGCTAACGGCGGTCCTGTACCAGGTTAAGCTTACCGCTTTTTTTATGTCTTCCGCCCATCTAGCTGGCGGTCTGCAAACACTTCGTATTCTTTTGACTTCATCTGTCATCATCTCTACGGCACAAGTGTCCTGCCATTGCCATTTAAGTCTCACTATCCGTTCACCAATACCGGTTACTTTGGTGCGTTGGCGGATAAAGTTGATAATTTTCACAAATTCTATTTTATTACACTTGTTCAATCATATTTTTCACCTTAGTATAGGTTTCCAAGTATATATGTATGTCGTGGCCAGATAGAATTGATTAATTCATGATACGGCCAGCCATTTCATGAAATGTTTGCATATCATATTAAATTACATAGCGATGAAAATTGGTGTTTATGTAATTTATAACAAAAAAATATATTTAAAATTAGTTTTTCTCAAACTCAAATGAAATGCAGTTTACAATAAAACTTCTTTATATTGGGTGCCAAATACATTACAAGTATCGTAGTGATTCTTTATATAATACTTGAAACATAGGAGATTGTATTCACAGCGCTGAAAGTTTAATAATATCCTAACATTTTCACAATTAAAACTAATACTCTAGGTTACATATCAATAAAGGCACTTGTAGGTATAAATATTGCTCAAATATTACATACTTTTAGGTATATCATTACACAAAAATTGCACAATATACGAAATGTCACTAGAACATCAGATTATAATGAAACTAAATATCACAATTTTAATACTACCAGAAAGGCGGAAGGCTTTTGATATCAACAACTCAAAGCTCAGGCTTTTCGATTTCAGCGATCTTCAGCATTTCCCGCAGCGACGCCGGCAACTCCGATATATTAAAAGTAGGGTCAGAGAACAGCGCCAATGTGATCGCATCCAAGTGCTTTTCGTATTTGTAGAAAGAAGCATACAGTCGCGCAGCATGATCTATTTCATCCTCTGTCATCTTTGCCATGCGCAGCTCTTTTTTTAACTCGATCTGCGACTCACCACATTTGATACAAGTATCTTCGAGGGCATACGGTGATGGTCTTCGCAGAACATGCTTGCATTGTACAGGCTCTACGTGTTTGTGTCGAGACAGAGAAGTTTTTAATGTGTCAGGTATTATTATCAGACGATCACTGCCGTGCTTCGTATTGGTATACTCTGCCGCCTCCCCGCCTGTGGCTATGAGTGCTATCCACAACAGTTTTGCTGGTTTCTTCTCGTTGATGAACAAACACGCTCTAAGATTTAGCGGTACTCTTTGTATCGTCTTGAATTACCAGACTATTATAACACAGGCGAATCTTTTTTTTGCTTGCTGTGTTTTAGGTACACGTCACGTCGATCGGTATATTTAAAGACATGCTGACCGACTCTTCGATGTCATACGGCGGCTTCGGAAGCATTGCAAAGGAAAATTTTAATTTTAACATTAAGCCAATTCGCAGTTAACTAGCGGATATAAATATGAGCATCGTGACAGGTTACCAAAGATGTATGATATAGATAATGTGCCAATTTTATAATGAAACTGTTCGCAGCCAGACTGCACCATTCGGTGAAAACTGACTTAACTAGTTTAGTACTGACTCGATCAGAATAGTAAGATAAACTATCAATCAGTAAATCGTTTTTGCGGCAAAATTTTATTTGAAAGATTGAATTTAATTGCAATTATTAAACAAATTAAAAGTAAAGTTATAAAAAATAATGCAAAACATACAAACCTCTTTTAAAGTAAACAACCACAACCTACGCAAAACTTCGTGGTTCACACGAGTGCCTCAATTCGAGCCATATACACACAGACATCTGTCACAGGGTCACAGTAAAAATGACATAGTTTCATTGAATCATTATATCATATAATAATCTATATAAAGCGAAACGAACTGCTTTTGAATAAATATCAACGAAACTCACTACTCCGCTAATGATGAAAAGACAGCAACAGTGCTATTAATAAACAAGGTTTAGCGACAGAGTAAATTTACTCTGAATTATTAGCAAATTAATAATGAAAAGGACATTGCGCAACGTCCATACATTGGTGGCCCCAGAACCAAAAAAATATAGGAAAATACTTATCTTATTGTGTGTCACTAACTAATTCTCATTATGTATTTATTATACCGCGACCAAGTTGTAGAACTTATTATCACGCAAAATATAATTCATTTTGAGGTTATAATTTGTTTGGAAAACCACCAAGAGATGGCACTCTAAGTACAGGACATGATATTGATGTCTATATTATAGAAGCAAAAAAACTCAACTTTAAGAAAGTCGGTCTTTCGTTGTGACTTGTAAAAGTTTCTAAGTCAATAAACAAATAAATCATTCTAATAGTTAAATAAAATACCTATTGATAAGCTTAAAATTAAAAAAACCTATAGTTTTTTTGATGGTTTACATCAAAAGATGGCGCCTTAAAGACGCAAATGACATGATGTTAATATGTTTACGAGGAATATAAAGGTAATGTAATAGAAACAGTAGTTTAACAGTAACAGTAACAGTAGTTCGTATGAATATCAATCTTTCTGAATAAACAAGGGTGAATTATCAACATTAACAGTTAATGTAAATTCATTAACTGTATAATATTCATTTATTTTAATATTCATTCATGTTGGTATAATATTCAGTTTTTATGTTTTATTTGGAAAACCACCAAGAGATGGCGCTTTTAGTAAATAATTTGATGTTTATACTTAAGTTTATTTTCGGTCAATTTAATTTAATGTTTTTGTGTTCGATGATTTAAGGGTTATCTAATAAAAATAAATGATCTTCTTGATCTGACGTGTAAATAACATCCATCTGACTCAATAGAATTTAAGTGTATTGAATGTGAATATTTGTGAATAAAAACGTTATTGTTAAAATTCTTTTAAATATGTATTTTGGATCGCAGCTTGTCCGTATCAAATAAATATTTGATTACAATTTAATTACGTTTAATAATTATTTTATAATAAATTTAATTATAAATGGAAACTACAATTTAAAATATTACTATAGCTAATTAAAATAATGTCGACCCGATCGATGCAAGAATCGAAGTGACCACATGTCGCCAGGTCACGTTGTCGACGTCGAAGGTGGCACGAGGCATGGTGTCAGCAGTTTCCGTCAGTTGTCGTTAAGGGTACGAGAAGCAAATGCAATTGGCTTGTCTGATCCTATTGGTCCTTGTGATAATACAGCGCCGATAGCAAGGTTCTATGCGTCAGTCGTTAAGTTAAATTCACGAGTGAAGTCAGGGTATTGCAGTATGGGGTCATTGGTAAGTAGTCGTTTACAGTTCTCAAAGCAACTGATATAATTTGAATCTAAAGTTATGGATTTATTTTTCTTTAAACATTGTGTTAACGGTTTAGTAATTTTGGCAAAGTCCGGAATGAATTTTCGGTAATAACCTAATAGACCTAAAAACTGCTTGATTTGTTTGGTGGTTTTTGGAAAGGGGTAGTTCTGAATAGCGTTTATCTTATCGGGATTAGGTTTAATACCTTCCCTACTTATCACATGTCCGAAATATGCAGTTTCTAACTTCAAGAACTCAGATTTATCCATCTGAATCTTGAAGTTAGATTCTCTAAGTCTTTGGAACACTTTTTCTAAATTAACCATATGTTCCTGAAGGCTGGTGCTGAAGACAATAATGTCATCTAAGTAGACCAGGCAGATAATGTTTTGCAGCCCTCTCAAGACATTATCCATTACCCGTTGAAAGGTTGATGGAGAATTCTTAAGACCCATATGCATTCTAAGGAATTCAAAATGGCCATGTTCTACATTGAAGGCGGTTTTGTGGATATCATAAGGATTCATTTGTACCTGGTAGAACCCACTCGCTAGATATAAGGTTGTGAAATACTGACATTTACCTAACTTATCAAGGACATCCGATATGTTGGGAATAGGGTATTTATCATCGACCGTTTTCTCGTTTAATTTTCTGAAGTCTACAACTAAACGCCATTTTTGTCTACCTGATGCGTCTGCTTTTTTAGGTACTATCCAGATCGGTGAGCTCCATGCGGAGTCAGAGGGCCGTATTATTCCTTGTTGAACTATGACGTCACCGTCTGACGCATTAATAGGTAATCTTAACAATTTAGATGATCTAGCCGGTATCATATCCTCGTATAGATTAACATTTCTCGAATTATACATCCTAATTGGGTTCGTAGTGGTTCGCGTAGTTAAGATTTTATCTTTTAAGTCAATAGTGGCTTCCCGCTGAGTCAAAAGGTCAAGTCCTATAAGTCCATCAAAGTAGCCATGGAATTTATATATGAAAATTTTTATTTTATTCTCGTCCTTAAACTCCTCAAAACAAGGCAACGTAATTGAATTATCACTTCTACTGGTTCCATGTATGTTAGACACTTCGAATAGTTCATAGTCTAATTGCATATGAGGATAATATTTTATTATTGCATCAGGACTTAGAAAAGATTGATTGGCACCAGTATCTATTAATAATTTTAAAGGTGGATTACTTATGAGAATATAAGGAAGTTGCCTTTGAGTTTGGGGGTTTACTTCTATTTTGAGCTTCTTGAGCTCTTGACTAACTGAAAATCCTGATCGTTATTTTTAGAAGATGTGGAAGGCTGGTTTTGCTCCTCCACGTGTTCATACCATACTTCAGATTGTGGTAATTGCTCATTTTCATATTGATTAGATACGGAACCATCATATTCATAATTGTTATATAAGTCAGACATAGTGTAGTAAGAGTCAGTATCGTAATAATAATTGTAATAATAGTTAGAATAGTCATCATATTGAGTACACTCGTTAACATTTACGTCGCGAGTTTTAAAATAGTTTGATGGTGGTGGATTACCATGTTTTGTCCAATCATGACCGGATGGAGGTAAAACTCGAGGCGTAAAGTGACTAACACCACTCATAGGTTTAGGTATATTAGCATTAAAATTAAAATTAGGTCTAGGTGGCATCCTAAACATGTTACTTTGCGGATTATAGTTAGTAGGACGCCCACTAAACATTTGTTGGGTGCGTGTGGGCATACGCATTGCGGTTTGTTGCATGGGAGGCTGGAATTGAGGCTTTGGCGGGAAGTTATTAGTAAAGCGAGGAGGTGGAGCTTGTATATGAGGAAATTTCATAGAGAAAGTGAATGGTTTTGGCATTGTATAAGCATTTGACATTGGCATATGTACTGGAGGTTTATAAGTAGACGTATTAAGCTCTTTTGAATTAAGCTCTTCCTGTACATATTCCAATGCTTTTTCTATTGTATCGGGGCGCATGCACCTTATACGAGATCCTAGAGGCTCTTTCAATCCACGAACGAAAGCTTGCATTGTAAGTTTCTTATAAAGATCACGTTTTGCCGCTATAGTAGTCTCTATAGTCTCGTGTAAGGTTACGTACGTCATAATCGTAGAAAATAACGTTAAACATTTATCGTAAAATTCTTGGGGGGTGTTGCTCCCCTGAGTTTGTACAGCTAGGTCATTGTAGAGGGTGGATTCATCCCTCTGATCTGTGAAGTTATTAATCAGAACACTTCTAATGCTATTCCAATCCTCAGCAATGCCATTTGAATTTATTGTCCTTGCCGCAGGACCTGTGATTTTATTTAATATCCCATTTATAAGGAAAAGTTTGCCCAGCTCGTCCGTTTGCTCAGTATATGATTCTATGATCTGATCACATAATTTAACAAATCTAGTTAGCACGTTGGGGTTGCGATCGAATTCTGGTAATAGACGTAAGGCCTTAAGGATAACATCTGGATCAGTATGCGTTGCCATTATACTAATTTCACTTACTGTACTATAACTACAATTACTTTCGATATCACTATCGAGATTTCTATTACTGTCTATAATGGTACGTGTTACCCTAGTATGCCTAATAGCCTTAGGGGCCCTATTACTCCTTGGATGAAAAATTTTGAACGTTTATTAATAACTAAAGGATAAAACTAAGGACTAATAAGGAGAGCAACACTAGAGAAAATTCAGTGGTGCACTTACATTAACATTATCTCGTCTCGGTTTCTTTGTGTTGCTATCGATGTCTTGATACTCCGGCTCAGGTTCGCTCGTTATGCAGGTTCCCGGTGAGGACTTGAAAGTCGATCGAAGCGCGGCGTGAACCCGATTTTGTGATCCCGAAAGCTACGCGACGACCCGGGAATCCTACCGACTGCGCCAATTACGTTAACCACAGCCGGAGGACTCAAAAAAAAAACCGAAATTATTTTATAATAAATTTAATTATAATTGGAAACTACAAATTAAAATATTACTATAGCTAATTAAAATAATGTCGACCCGATCGATGCAAGAATCGAAGTGACCATGTCGCCAGGTCACGTTGTCGACGTCGAAGGTGGCACGAGGCATGGTGTCAGCAGTTTCCGTCAGTTACATAAATTGGAACGATGAATACGCGTGCTCAGCATTCAGGGCCGTGTGCAATGTTGTTCTTGCTATATGCTAACTTGGCGGAACCCCTACTAAATGTTCTCGTAACAATTTAATAAATAAATTGGGGCATTGGGGCCATTTTCGGCGATGTCCTTTATTATGAATATTCACTTCAATTAGATGGCGTTATAATTTGTGTAAATGACGGTGTTAAGATATTTATTTATAATATTAGTTTTATTTCATTTTTTTAACAAAGCTCCTATTTTCTGTGAGTTTCATTGCGTTATTGATAATTGGTACCCTTGGGGCGTTACGGTTTATGTATTATTGGACTGACTGAGCATCGTACATGGTTCTTCGAGCCAGATTGGCGAGGAGTCTATCAACTAGTTAATATTAACTATAGTTCACGACGCAGACATACAAGTAGCTTTGGCTCAGAAGTGCGAAGGTACTGTAATGTAAACTAAACGAAATCAAAACCTTGAGTTGACAGAAAACGTGACGAACCATTTCACTTACAAAAATGTGCATAATGTTTTATTAGCGACAGATTTGGTGAAAACAGAATTGGTGAAGGTCGTCAACATTTATTACGTACACTTCACGATCAAGGATCCCAAGCCTCATTTATTATAGAATCAGTCATATAATCACTTGGGCTAAACAAAACTTCTATTACGGGAGTTGTTTCAGTTTTGGGTGGCGCCCGAGGTGGTTTGCTGGGTCCACTACCGGGTGTGACTCCAGGTGGTGGATAGGGGAACGATCCTCAGATATGTAAGTTACCGGAAACGGCGCGAACCAAATCTAGCAGAAGGGATTTTGGTTTGCGTTCGAATGGTACCAATTATGACTGGCGTCTCAGATATATTCTGAGTAGCGGCAGTCAAGTGAATTGGAGGAGATAATCCGCCTTCTGCGGTGTGCGTAGGACCCGCAAGGGTCCCGTGAAGGGATTGAGCCTATCATCGGAGAACAAGATCAGTTTGAAGATGACCTCGAGACGGACATGACCCGCCTGGCAAGCTCAGAGGTGTTCAGAATAAAGGTCGCAGATGTCCATAAGCAATGGCAATGATTGCGGTTATTACTAATATGAGCCGCCAGTCAAAAACCTCAAAGGTTCATCCCAAATGGTTATAAAACACGCAACATCGGTTTTGACCGTACTGGTGGAGAGGCTGGAATCGGACTAGAATAGAGGAGACGCGGCGGCTGCAAGCTGAGAACGCACGCCTCAGCCAGGAATAAGAACATCTGTGTAATGAGACAAGGGCGCTTCGTACGTCCTTCGCACTCCAAGAGCGCTAACGGAGGATTTCATGAAAGAGCTTAAGTAGTCACTGACCACTCATCGGAAAAAAATTTAATGGGAGACTGGACGACCTGGAAAGGTGACTGCCTCCCCCGCTGCCATTACCTGCAGTACCAATACCCGCACTTGCGCCAAACACAAGATCATTTTTGGCAGCAGGCAGGAAGAGAACAGTAGCAACCTCTGCACCAGGTCGCTTGGTTGAAAAGGTCCAAAGCGAAAATGGACCGCGGCAGTGACAAACTCCAGCATCCCCAACTCTGAGAGCTAGGCTACGGAATTGCAATCTTCCTGCAACACCGCTCCTGTGTCCGAGGAATCTTGGAGTACGGTAGCTCGCAGGAGCCGTAAAAAGAAGAAGTCAGCTGCACAAGCTACAACGGCTAAGCAAACTTTCGAAGCAATCACCTGCTTCGGCGGTTCTTGCGATCAAAGCTGCCAAGAAGAAGAAGCCCAAATTGACGCTTCCCCGTTCTACAGTAATAATTGTGACGCTTTACCCCAGAGTAGAGGAGAAAGGCGTCACCTACTCTCAGGTGCTGAACACTGCAAAAAAGAAGGGTCAGATAACGGACTTCGGCATAGAAGGGGTACGTTATAAACGTCAGCGACAGGCGCCCGCATCCTGACTATTCCGGGTGCAAGAGCGGTGATAAGGGTGATAAGTTGGAAGCTCTTGCAAAAAGGCAGAGAACGTTGTTCCCAGAGGTTGCCAAAATCGCCAGACTCACGAAAATGTTGTAGCCGCAACCGCGGAAAAACCTACCAACCAAATAAGGAGCAGTAAGATCGTTGGCGCTGTTATCATTAAGTTCCGGGTGGCAGCGGCCAAGAAGATTGCAGACTCAGGCCGACTACTAGTCGGATGGAGTTCTGCTCAAGTGCAGGCGCTGGACGCCCTGCCCATGCGATATTTAAAATTTATGGGCATTGGCCACACTTGCCAGCAATGTCCAGCGTAGGAAAATCACGGCGAACTCTGCTTACGATGTGAGAAAGCCGGTTACGAGCTCCGAAACTGCAATGCGGCCTTCAATTGCGCCGTCTGCAAAGACGCTCGTTGTTCAAACACCGGACACATAATGGGGAGTAAGAGATATCTTCCCCTCCTACCAGAGCGAAGAAGGCTCAAAGCCCAAGCCTCTCCCAGTCTATTTTAATCCTACCAGAACGGAGAAGGCTCTAAGTCCCAAGCCTCTCCCAGTAATAAGAAACACTCAGCTCCAATAGAGGAAGTTATATCAGAACTCAAATTAATGGATAGGTAATCTGGTAATTTAACTCTAATGGTGAAGATGGGACGGCGACGGCGCGCGTTGCGATCGATTCATTATTCTCCCACCATCTATTCCGCACCCAGTGACTAAATTAGGTGTATGACGTCACAATAATTTAGGAAATTAATAATTTCTCATGCTTTTAAGTTTCTGGTACTCAAATATTTATTATTTGATTTAAATTTCTACTCATAGCACTGTAGGCATAGTTGCTATGGGTATTGAAAAAACTGTAACGATATGTAAGAAAGTAAGTAAGTATTTTTTATTGAGTTAGTGATATGTGAAATATAATACTTATATAAAATACTTTATGAACTCAACAAAAATGCAGTTTCCAATAAAACTTTTTTATTTTAGGTGCCAAATACATTACATGTATCACCATGTACAAATTAAATTTATCATGATAAAATCCACAAGTGATTCTTTATATAATACTTGAAATATAGGAGATCGTATTCACAGCGCTGAAATTTTAATGATATCCTAGCATTTTCACAATTAAAACTAATAAATACTCTAGGTTACATATCAATAAAGGCACTTTTAAGTATAAATATTGCTCACATATTCCTTTCAGGTATACGATTATATAAAAATTGCACAATGTACGAAATATCAGGTCAGGTCATCAGGTCAGTCATAGGACATCAGGTCGTAATGGGACTAAATATCACAATTTTAATATCACCAGAAAGGTGGAAGGCTTTTGATATCCAAAACTCAAAGCTCAGGCTTTTTGATTCCAACGTTCTTCAGCATTTCCTGCAGCGACGCCGGCAACTCCGGTATATTAAAAATAGGGTCAGAGAACGGCTGCAATGTGATCGCATCCAAGTGCTTTTCGTAATCGAAGAAAGAAACATACAGTTGCGCAGCATGATCTATTTTATACTCGGTCATATTTGCCATGCGCAGCTCTTTTATTAACTCGATCTGCGACTCACCACATTTGATACAAGTATCATCGAGGGCATACGGCGATGGTATTCGCAGAACATGCTTGCATTGTACAGGCTCTACGAGTTGGTGTCGAGACAGGGGAGGTCCAGAATGTGTTTCAGGTGTTATCACCAGGCGATCATTGCGGTGCTTCCTATTGGTATGCTCTACCGCCTCGCCGCCTGCCGCTATGAGTGCTTTCCACAACAGTTTCGATGGTTTCTCCACGTTGATGGACATGCACTAAAATTTATCGGTACTCTTCGTGTCGTCTTCAATAACCAGACTATAACGCAGGCGAATCTTTTTTTGCTTACTGTGATTTACGTACACGTCGATCGGTAAAAGGTCGGTCCAAAGACATGCTGCCCGTCTCTTCGATCTCGTACGGCGGCTCCGGAATCACTGCAAAGGAAAATTTTAATGTAATCATTTAGCCAATGCGCAGTTAAGTAGCGGAGATAAATATGAGCATCGTGGCAGGCTACCAAGTATGTGCGATATCGATAACGTGCCAGTTTTATAGTTAAACTGATCACAGCCGGACTGTACCATATGGTGAAAATTAACTTAACTAGTTTAGTACTGACTCGATCAGAACAGTGTACGATAAACTGTAGACCAGCAAATCGTACTTGCGGCAAAATTTTATTTGAAAGATTGAATTTTATTACAATTTCTGTAGACTAATCAAATTAAAAGTCAAGTTATTAAAAATATTGAAAAAGATACAAACCTCTTTTAGGGTAAACAAACGCGCTAGCAGGACGTAGATGAAGACGACTTTGTGCACGAAAGCGCTAATATCGCGACCGTTTGCCCCGCGTACCCACAGCCGCCAGTCAAGCACTTTTGCATGCCCTCGCGGAGTACTTCGTGGTCCGCACGAGTGCCCCACTTCGAGCCATATACGCACAGGCATCTGTCGAATCACAGTAAAAAACGATGTAGTCTTATAAAATCATTACATATTAAAATTTCAATTTTAACCAAAACGCTAAAATTGAAATTTTAATATAAGTTAACTACTAAGCATACCTACTTACTACCTTCTAGGAGTAAATATTACTCCCGTTGAACCTTGTACTAGGTTAACCTTTGCTGAGACTCTGTTAAATAATATGAATTTTGACTAGTACTAAGTGCAGTCTCAGCGTAAATATACTCCAACGCTAAACACTGTAGGTGAACATGAACATTAAATAAAGACACTTTATTAATATCGTTTGAAAATATGTAAACTTTAAATATTTAATCATTATTATGTACTTTTTATTTTAATAAATAATTATTGCACCATTTGAAACTTAGGTGTCTATCGCCATTTCAAGGAAAAAACTTACCATTAAATATCTAATCACAATTGAATCACTAATTTTGCTAACACTAAAACAACAACATCTGTCGAAGCTTGCAGAAACCGTTATGAGGAGTCCGCAATTGCATATTTTCATAAAGGTTTTGGCATTACAGATAAGCATCTTATTTGTGATTGGTCGACAAGAAAGGGTCATTAATGACCTGTGATCTTGTAAATAGCACATGATAATTCATCGTTTCTGTATGTATCCCAAGTTCAAGTGGCTAAATATTGCAAAAAACTACTAATTTTACTAATGTTATTTGTTTTATTAGCGACTAGCCTGCCAGTGTGGCTATTTATTATTTATTTTGAAAAAATGGAACAAGTCTGGTTTCGTTTTTAAACGAAGAGAATCTTTCGAATTAAATTTCCAACATGACTGTGACAGTTGATATTTTTAATATAATTCATTCACAAAATTGTTAACACTAGAAAACAATATGAGTACCCTATGACAGAAATAGCAAAATACTAGTATGAGTAGAGTAAGGTCACAAATGTATAAATTTTGGGAGTAATTCGATTTATATTTTGTTTTATATCGTTATTCTTTTATTCGACATGAAATTGATTTCTCGGTATCGTAGAAAAAAATTTTTTTTTACTTAGAATTGTAATAAGAAGAGGTCAGTTTCTAGGATTCAGGATTGTGTAAAATATATGTTAAAATAGCGCTTAGATCAAAACAAAAACAGTTATGATGCAGTTAACAATACATTTAGCTTGGCTCGTTAATTTACTGGTTTTGTATTACTTTGATTGTTATTTGAAAAGGTCAAAGGAACCTTTTAATGCATATTTTGCATATTAAAATGCGCATATAGTAGTCTTAATTTTATGTTCGTTTACACTTCTTCGTTGATTATTTTTCCAAAAGCAGTTCATCTTGGCTAATAAAATAATTATTATAAAATGTAACGATTCTATAAAATTATATCGTTTTTACTGTGATTTGAGAGATGTCTATGCGTATATGGTTCGAAGTCAAAAGGTACTCAAGCGAACCACAAAGTACTCCGCCGGGACACGCAAAAGCGCTTGACTGGCGGCTGTACGCGGGGCAAACGGTGGCGATATCCGAGCTTTGGTGCACAAAGTCGTATTCATTCTACGCCCTGCTAGCGCGTTTGTTTACACTTAAAGAGGTTTGTATATTGTTCAATAATTGTAATAACTTTAGTTTTAATTTGATTAGTCTACAGAAATTGTAATAAAATTCAATCTTTCAAATAAAATTTTGCCGCAAAAACGATTTGCTGGTCTATAGTTTATCTCACACGAGATCGAGTTGGTACTAAACTAGTTAAGTTAGTTTTCATCGAACGGTACAGTACGATTGTGAACAGTTTCATTATAAAGTCAGTAAGCGTTGAGTGCACACTTAGTTAGGACGTAAACCACGATTGTCTAGAAAACCAGTGTTTCTCAAATTTCAATATTTTAATGATGGAGTATTCTGCAAGGTATGTATAAAACAGACATCTGGATATTGGATCCGCTAACATAGATAAAGTGGGATATCGAAGACTTGGCCATGACTTCCAGGCAACATGGAGATGTCCGTAATGTAAAATGATTGGTTCCAAAAGCATTGCCACTACGCCTGTTTGTCTTTCCTTGAACATTACAGATCAGACCTGCAGTGATAAATCTTTTGATATCAACACACCTGTTTCAAGTCCTAGCCATATCCCCTCAGGTTCAGTCACGCTTGAGTTACTGTTCCACGAGTTACAAGGTATGAAAAAACATATTTCTAAATTACCACGTCTCGTGCTTGCAGTGGAATCGATAAAAAATAATTTATCTGATCTTAAAACCTCCTGTGAGTTCAGCAGTATTAAATTGAATGAATCGGAAACTAGACTCACTGAAATTGAGCACAAATCTTCTCATATAGGCAGAGTAAGCGAGTACTTTCAAAATCAGTCGTGAAATTATGGGACTTCAGGAGAGCAGTGGGCGAGATTTAACAACATCGAAATTAAAGGCGTCCCTATAAAAAAAGGTGAAAATCTATTGTTAATACTGGCGAAGTTGTCAAAAGTCACTAACTACTCGTTTCCTAAAACACAAGTAAATTATATTGCGAGAGTTCCAACTTATGATGCTAAGAAGAGGCATATGGTTGTGAGTTTCATAAACCGATATGTAAAAGACAAATGAAGTTTGTGGCTGCAGCGCGCTTGAAATAACTTATTACGGCGACTGATCTTGGCTTCAGCATAAATATTTACTAACGACAATTCAACTCCGGATAACAAGAAACTATTAACATTAGTGAAAAGTGTTGCTAACGAAAAAACTTTTTATAAGTCTGGGTATTTTTTTTTATTCATGTCAGAAAAAATGACACTTCGCCGGCTATGATTATTGCCAAGGAATCAGATTTAAACAGAATTATTTAATTTATCTCTTAAAAAAAAGATTGAACTTATCATTGAATTTTTTATAAAATTTTGATATTCGTAAGTTTAGTCACAAGATTGGCAACCATTTTTTACTTGTTTAGTATAACCGGTTCTGTTGTTTACTATTGTGTCCGTCAATAAAATTGAATAGAACGCTTTGCCTGCTCGCGCGTGTTGTTTATTGCACTTGCTATGCTGCTTGCACTTATGCATTCGTTGTTTGTTATCTACCGGGCAGCTTTGGGTGTCGCTTCATATATTCATTAATAATGAACTGCACGTGTGCTCATTATTATTCTTGTCTAGTGTTTGGCTTTTTTTTTGGAGCGTTTTTCAATTTACAAATTTTATGTGGTGTTTATTTTGCCACTATATTACATCATAGATTTATCTTCAGTAATTTTAATAACTTAAGTGTATATTATCAAAATGCTCGGGGTCTCCGATCGAAAATTAATTTATTTTATCGCAATGTATGTTCGAATTCATTTGACGTTATTGTGATTACGGGAACACGGTTAGTAAAAAGTGTTTTGGATGGTGAATTGCTTGACAGTCGATATGTAGTATTTCACAGGGATTGAAATTACAACGCCACAGGGCTAACTAGAGGGGGCGGTGTTAAAGATTGCAGTTCGTCGTGAACTGCACGTTATACCAAGGTTAAATTATTGTTCTAGCGCCGAAGATCTTTTGATAACTGTTAGCTTAGTCGGAGGGATAAAACTTTCCACCGATATTCATCTATGTGTTTTATGCAAGGAAAACCTGGGTCTATCGTTTTACAGTAACTTGGTAATTTTTTGAGCTCATTGAGTAAAGTTTTAATCTCCACCCCGCAAAGTAATTTTATTATTTAAGGCGATTCTAATATGAGCGATAATATGAGCGATGTTATCTGGTCCAACCGATGATCTGTCCTTTGAACCTAATAACTATAATTCTATCGATGAATGAACTTATACAATCTTTGAATTTTGCACCAAGAACTAAATTTTTCTTTCATCGCGGTGATTATATATCAACAAATTGATAATATTAACTGGGATGCATTAGTAAGTAACATTAAGTACCCAGCATGGTATACCACCCCTAACTTATAAAACTTGTTAAGAAAAAGTACAAGTCTTGGCGTAAGCACAACTTATATAACAATCTTACCGTTTTTAGTTCGTATAAGCTGCTCAAAGAAATATTTAAATCCTTGGAAATTCCTGTTATACTTTTAATAATAGAACCTTACCCATTGAATAGACCTCTTTTTGCCCTACTTGGTTCTAAACTATTAAAGTGATATAAAATAACACTAGTCTTATTATGTAAGTAATTAAATTGCAATTTAAATAAAGAATGTGTGTTGTTAGTAACCCTATCCCTAGAGTCTTACAATTCACTTTGTAAAGTAAGCACATCCTGTCATAATCTGTCGAGTTTAATGTACTGCAAAAGGTATGACAATGTGTCGTGAGTCTAGTATTTCCTAACCTAATGGGTAGAAGTCATGTACGTGTAGCACGACAACCTCATACACATCTCACTCTCGACCCGAGAAAGTGACATTTGGGTGTAGACAAAGCGTTTCTCGAGTTCGTCATGCTACGCGTGCAGGTCTGTCGTTCGATTTAAATAGATTATGTCCAATTATGTCAAACAAAACATTTTGGAGTGGTTTAAGAGCAGTTGCTCATAGCGTTTGCTTTCGCTGTCACAGTCATAATATTCAATGAACCCATAATCCTGCAACTCCTATGGGTCCCAAGTTACTTTATGCTTTTGCATCTCCGTTGCACAGTACGAGTTGATTTGTTGTAGGTTTTCATGTGCGGATTTTAGATATAAATTTATGTTTCACATTCTATCCACTTCTAAATTTTAAACAATTCAAAAACAGGCGGAAGCGACGCCACTATAGACATACAGAGTATGCAATACCGGAGAGTAAAACATCATTTCTTTTTTTTTGTGTTGTCTCAGGAATCAACAAATACAGCCAATGGAAGATAAGCTTGGTAGGTTCGCACCATTATATTTTTTTTATATCGTAATAGTGCGAGCGATTTGATATGTGATGATGACGATTTGATATGTCTTTTATATATATATATATATATATTTACCTATATAGGTATATATTATACTTGTCTATTCCAGCTAATCTGCGCTCATGCTGTCTCGGCGGTGCCTGATTGGCGGTGGTGAAAAAATTTGAAATAAATAATTTGGAGTCTCGAAAGCCGCCCGGACGAATCGCGATCCCCGAAATCGAAGTAAGAAATCCATGCGCGAACAGACCCGCGAGTATCCTACCGACTGCGCCAATTACGTAGGTTCCAGCCGAAGGAATTAAAAAAAAAACGAAATTTAAATTTAATTTATTTAATAAAAGTAAAATTACAATTAAATTGATTACTTACTACTCTTTAAGCCCGATGCTGGGAACAAAGTACTGGAAAATTGTGATTATTAATTTTATATAATACGATGTTGCAACATGGAATTTTGTAATGCCTTACTAGCTAATTTGCTAATTAAACTGCATTATGGTTTGTTTTTGTACTTCAATTTTATTCTTGGAAACATCGTAAAACTGCAATAAACAATCCCAATAAACTGCAAGCGTAGTTTTTTTTTCGTTTATTTATTCACGATACGATATACGATAATTTCTCTAGTAAATAATAACTGTTCCTCAGGCAAAACTTCCTTTTTTTGCAACGGCGCGCACTGCGATCGATTCATGGTTCTCCCACCACCTATTTCGCACTCAGCGACTAATTTACGTGTATGAAGTCACGGGAAAACAACTTATTAAACAGACTTTTTTTAAAAATTCAAGCGGAAATTGGTGAACTTACTTTTATAAAAAATACATACATTCCCGTTGAACATAGAAAATCCTCCTTTCGTAGCTATTTTGAATGAATGCAAAATACGATGTCATTTGTTTTTCGGTGATATAATCGTATCGTTTATATATTTTTGTGAAAAGCGTATTTTGTTTTATGAAAGAAATACAAACTCCTTTTCGATTTGAAGTCGGTTAAAAAAAGTATCTATTCGTATGTTTTCTTCACATACCCATCTTTTAACGGTACGTCGTACCACATAATTTATTATGTCCTAGGCTTCCGTATCCATCTACGTATGATCTTTAAGATCATTTCGTTTTTATTACTCCCTTTTCGTAATTTAAAATTTTCAAAAACGCGATACGTTCATTCTGAATATCAGTAGGTAATTAATTTTCAGGTAAAAACACGTTATCATTGAAAATTAATAAAATATTTTGAAAGTAAGTACGTATTATATAATATATATGCTTTTATATTATATAAATTTTATATTATACAATTACGTAAAGCTTGTACACTATACGATGATACATTCAGTGATATTGATATTTTTGAGACATAGTTAAATTCAAGTGCCACATCGTAGATCGCTTGAAATGTTTGGACGTGTAGAATAGACCTGTTACTAAATTCGCTATTGAGTAGACATAAAAAGAATTGCAACCGCTATAATATCAAATTATGTATACCTTCTGTAAAAAATATCTTATACTAATATTGATGCCGCCATTGTTTCTTCTTGGTGCTGCCTCTACCTCTCTGAACTGCATAATGTCAGATCTACAAACAAATATTTGTATATACTACCTATATATATTAGGGTACTCATGTTTTATATGGTATA